AATATCATTTTTAATTGCATCCAAACTTCATGCACAATGAGAATGTCTTTGTGTTTGGGATTCGGGAGAAGGGGGGGGGATGGGGAGAGCCAGCGGGGCCAGAGAAACAGGGAGGCAAAAAAAAAAGAACGATGTAAGGGAGCAAACGGTCAACAGACAGACACGGGACAAGGACTCTAGTGTAGTAAATTTGCTAGTCCTACCGACGGGTGTCAGATGCAAGCACGCGAAGGGAGAAAAAGACGAATTGAGCACGGATCCATCGGCGGTAGATGGCACACACATACACGTGTCGGCAAAGAGGCGATCGAACGAGCGAGGGGCCTCGAGGAGGAAAAGCGTTGCATCGTTTCGTCACCACCCCCTCCCCCGGTGCCGATAACACGACAATGTCATCATCACCACCACCACCACCACTAACACCCACACAATCCCCATTGCCAACAGAACGACAAGAACAACAACAACGACGACGACAACGGCAACAACAAAAATACTCACCAACTCCACCACCACAAACACCACACACAACAGCTGAGCGGGGGTCCGCTTCCCCCCCCCTCGCTCTCACCATTCCTCCCCGCCCTCGCAAGCGACAGACTCCCCTCCCGTCGCATCCTCAGAGAGCAAGTCGCACGTCAACCCAAGACCCTCGTCTCCCTCAGGACACGACACGCAGCCGTAAGGACAGACGTCACCCCCGCGGCCGAGCTAAAATAATAAAAAAAAAGTGGGAAGGAAAAAGGAATAGCCCGGTGGCAGGAACACACACGCCCAGGAACAAACGAGAAAGAGAGCAACGCCAGACGGTTAGCTATCAGGAGCTGCGGAAGGGCGATGTGGTTCCTCGCTACTCGCATTTTGTATTCTAAACACATGCATTATCAACTCGATTGGTCTATTTATTGCCTCGTGTGTTTGTTTTTAGTTCGTTTTTTTCGCCCGTCTTTCAAGAAACAACAGCAGCGGTGGGTTTGTTTGCCCGTTGCTTAGAATAGCAGCGATGCGATCGAGAAACGGTGAAAAACAAGAACGCAATGAGACACCACCACACGAGCTGCCGCCTACCTATTATGGATGTTTTCTCTGCGCGTGCATTTCTTTGGCCAGACAGGGTAACATTGCACGCCTTCCGAGTGTTTGTCTTTGGAACGGGTACCTTTCGTTGATCTGACGGATTGACGAACATCTAGCCCGTCGATGGGCGGCGGACGTCATTTTTCCAGTCTTTTTTTGCTTTCAAGCTACAGAATGCGGCTGCTGTACACAGAAATGATAACGATGCCTGCACCAGCAGGCACAACCACCCGACGTGCTAGGCGCCAGAACAACAGCAAGACAGTATTCACGACGGGCGTGTACCACACAATGAACTTAGAAAAGAGGGGAGGCTGTACGGCGCGGGGGGTGGCAGCAGCGGGGGGGGGCTGGTGTCGCTCGTTGCCGGCCGGGACTCCTTCTTTTGCCGACCAATCGCCACGGCCTCTTCTTTTGCCGTCAGACAAACCCCATTCTCTCTCTCTACGCGAAGCAAAGGGCTGGGTAACCCGGGGGGGGGGGGGGGCGTGGTTTTATAACCCAAAATAAAAAGGGGGGGGGGGGGGGGGGATTTTTCCGGGGGATGGGGCGAAACGCAAAAAGAAAAACCGTGACCTCCCCCCGGTTTCTTAACCCCTCCAGGGGGACAACCCAAGCGGCCCGTACGCATAAAAAGGACGACGCAATTTCCTCTCTTTTTTTTTGGCGCACCATGTGTGGGAGCTGTAAGCACGGTGAAGAATTCCCCAAAGGCAATGCAAGTTTTCCGGGGTTTTTCGGAGGTTGGAAAGCGGGCCACTTAAATGGAAAAGGGAGGGCCGTACGGGGGGGGCTTGCCAAAAAAAAAAAAAAAACCCCCTGAAAAAAGAAATTCCCGGGGCCCAGGCCCCCTTGAA